CAGGTATTCAAAAGGAGTCTAAACGAGCAGCCACAAACAAGAAAGTATTAATATGCAACAAGAAAATCATTTCATGAGGACAACATAATTAGACAGATCCTGTTAATATGCACATGCAGTACACTCATACCTTTGTTTTATCACGTATAACAAAAAGTAATGTCGTTTTACGGGGGCTGAATAGGCGCATCATGACCTATACACATTCAAAAACCAGAACTTCATAACTTCGACAGTAAATGGTGAGTAGATGGTAGAGATGTAGGCATGGTTCTAGAGTACCTGAAAAACTGTTTTTAGTAAAGGTTTATTGGCAGCTTGCTCCCGACCAATATCATGACACCACCTGTATACAAAATCCAATCTCCACTTGATATATCTAAAAGTAATTTCAAATTACAGGTAAAAACGACGTATATTCTGTAAATTAAATTGAGCCTACATGTATTCTATATATCCTGGAAATTAAAATGTCAATTAACATTAGGATTCTGAACTAAAAGTTCATAACTAGAATAGCCCATGTTTTCGTGAAAGGTAAAACCCTAGTTGAACAATCAATGAGATGGTATCAGAAGCTTCTTTCCTAAGGATATAGATGATTGATAAACCAAACTCACACCGGCTTTGCCTTTCTAAAAGCCAACTGAACTAGATACCAATACATATGACAATCTTAAAATTGAACTAGACACCTCTACTAATTTGATATAACACTTATGGGAACAAGTTTAACATACAACCACCAACAAATTGGATCGACGACTACATATATATAGTCACTAACTATGCAAGTAATGTAGACTATCAGCCAGGTGACTCCAAGACAAATAAAAAAACACAAGCTTACATATTTATCAGAACGATGTCTGAAACTGCCAAGGCAAATAGGGCGCTTTGTTTCTCGAATGTAGTATCATCCTGGAAAATAATAGAGTTACACAGGAAGCACGAACAGTTAATAAATCCGGGAAGTTTAACCATATAACATTTTGCAGCTCTTACTAAATCCTCCCTAGAAAAACACAATGGAATTCTAATGAAAATCTGATTACCTCGCCCCTCTCCCTCCCATCAGTCCCCTCCAAATCCATGGCAATCGTGCACGGCTCAATGCCAACACACTTGGCAATCCAAATACCCTTTGTAGTTTGGCTCCTAAAACAAATCCACAAAATCAGATAGTCCTCTCTCCCAAAAAGCACTTATTCCAAAAGCAAAAAAAAAAAAAAAAACAACCAAAATTGACTACACAATCAATTCCAAACTCAGAAACTAACCTTCCACTGTAAGCATCCATCTCCCTAAACTTAGTCCGAAACAAATGATTTAATAAAGTGCTTTTCCCTGTAAAATCAAAAGCCATAAGCACCAAAACCAAATTCACCAAAAACCTCAAAACTCAACCAAATCGAACAAAGTTTCAAACTTTTACCGCTGCTCTGCGGACCCATGATTGCAACAACCGCATAGGAGAGTCCGCACTCGGTAAGCTTCACCTCCTTCACGAACCTGTCGAGCCCATCTGCGTTAAATTCTCCATCACCATAGATAAGTTGTGTGGCGCAGCAATCTTCGTCCATCCCAAAACCTTCAAAGTTTGCAACTTTCTTTCAGCCACCGACTTGTATATACACACACACACACACACACACTTATACTTGAAGAGGAAGACGACCCAAGATTCTATATGCTTTCTTCGACCTCAAGGCTTCTGAATTAAGTACGAATCATAAGCTCTTTGCTGGTAGGGGAGGCAGAGCAAGTAAGAGAATAAAGAGAGAGAGAGAGGGTTCAATTTTTTTGTGGAGTATCGAGATCTCTCCTTCTTCTTTTAATTTTTTTTTTAATTTTTTTTATTTTACTGGATTCAAGAAATATGGGCAACTTGTCGTTGAACTCGTTTGGATTATCGTTGGGGTCGGAAGCGGCGGATTCGCCACCTGCCACTTCCCCGTACAGTGAAACGCCTTCGTGTTTATCGGTCACTTGAAAAAAATTAAGGTGTGCTATCACACATTTTTTTTTATTTCTCACACACTTTTATTAATTTATGTCATTTGATCTTATTTAATTTATCCAATTCGACGGTTGAAAATTAAAAAAAATATGAAAAGTAAAAAAAGATGGGTAGATATCACACCCCAAAATTAAATTAATTACTTGGGAAAATTTTATGTAAACATGTTTAAATATCGTAAATTTGGGAGGAACACAATCGATTTGTACTTCAATTTTAAAAGAATTCGTTTTTATTCTCGAAGATTTCAAGTTTTGTTTTCCTCTCCCCCTGTTTCAATAGGGAAGTGTTGTTAACCCTTTAAAAATCTCATTCTACACTTCTCACAAATGTATTTTTCTTTCTAAACATAAAAAATTTGGAGTGCCAATAATAATTTCCTTTCAATATTGCTACTATCATAAAAATACAAATTGAAAAATATTTAAAAGTAGAGAAAATTAGATTACAAATTTTAAGACAAGACTTGCGTATTTTGAGGACACTGGATTAAGACGTGCATGTTTTTCAACGCCAAATTTTGAATATATTGAATTACAAAATTTAAGGAATGTACTACTTTAATTCCTTATTAGTAAAGGAATGTGATATTCACATATTCTTTGAATAAATTTTAATATATACTTGTTGTGTGAATAACTTAAAGAGAAATACAACACGGAGGATGCACAATTTTTTGAGAGTACCATAAAAAATCCCTTATAACAATTTATAATTTCATAATGTAGTTTTTTCTAGATTAAATTTTGGTTTGTATCCACAGAAAGTCTTCTTTGTTACTTTTGTTTCAAATTTAAAATATATATACAGGTTAGTAAAAAGCCAAAAATGTCCCTAAAAACAAAGAATTTATACCAAAAACGAAGACTGAAGGGATGTAAAATAATAATAAAAGTATCAAGGCCCAGATTTAAGTATGTTCTGCCTTGGGCCCTGGGCCTTGTTATAAGTATGCGGTAGGGACAAGTGGGCTCTTTGACCGAAGACAACAAAAAAGATAGAGGTGGGCTTAATATCTGATCTTATGGGTAATGGGTCGGGCTCCGGATTCTCAAGCCCCAATTTATTTTGGATAGAAAATTAGGAAAACTAATGAAAATAACTTGAAAACTTTGAATTTTAACGATAAGGATAAAATAAAGGGTAATGTGAATATTATCAGGATTGACTTTTTAGTGTAAAAATGTGATTTTTCGTTAAAGTGAACAGTACAGGAGATTTTCGTTAAAGTTCCCTAGAAAATTGAGGTTTTTGCGGATGTATCTTCTCAATTACCCAAGAGGATCCTCTCTAGATCCTTTTTATGAGGAACCTAGAGATTCTTAAATCATATCCATTCATTGTATATCGTGCGTTCAATATTTATCAGGTACTATTTATATTTAATTTAAAATAAAAGTATTTAAATTGATTTATAATCGCACGATATACAATGAACGGATACGATTTGAGGATCCCCAGGATCCTCACCTCATTCCTTAATTACCTCTTCCTCTTCGACAAAAAAAAAAAAAAAAAAACCTCTTCCCCTTTTTTCTTGTTGGAATTCAATTACATTTTCATCATTTATAAATAATTAATAATCAATTACCATCATACTCGTCGTGCCAATCGGTAACGGCAACTCAATGCTCACACATGAAAACATTTTCGGCGGTCGATCATTTGATTAAAAGGACTTGTTGACGTCAATGCCAAGGATTTAGGCTTGAACTCAGAATCGACATGACATCAGTCATGGTTGATGAGCCTTATTAACCCAAAAATGGGTGAAATTGTGTTTTGGGTTGAATTTGAGGTCGAGTCATGACAATTTAACATAGGTGGATGTGCTCTATGAAAGCTCCAAGTTTTGGGGGTTGTGTGGTAAATTAGTAAAGTTTTATAGGGTTTTCATGCGACGTGGGCAATTATTATTTTAACATTCTTTTCATGCATGGCATAGCATGGGATTAAGGGACTAATTAAACTAAATCTAATTGATTAGGGTAGATTCTTAGTCATTTTTTAGGCTTTTGATGTAGATTTATCCTGCTATATATATCTTCTTCTTCTTCCCATGGAAAGAAAAATATAATGCTCGTCCTGGGCATTACCATTCACAACCATGCTCAACCCATCATTGCAAGAAATTAGTTCTTAACTCCCTAAAGCACATTTAAAGTCAATTATCAAATAAAGAAATCAAGATGTAATTATGTTTCAGTGAATACAATTAATCAGCACTGAAACAAGGCCCTAAACCTAAATTGAGCGTTCTTCTCAATATTTTATAAATGATAGTCATTATTAATTAGCTCTTAATCTAATAATATTCATCTCACATGTTGTAAGAGGTTTAATTATCATATGATCTCATTGTTATAAGACGTTATTCCATCGATTTTCACGAAGCAGAGAGTCGTGTTGATTTTGGATCGTCATTTTTTTTATTTTCTCCATTATAATAGTTAAAAGAGGAAATGCAAGACTTCAGAAAAAGTTTAAGTGTGGAAACTGGAAATCACTTTCATTAGGGTTAGGGATCCTATTCTAGTATTCTCTTTACTCTTAGGCTTTTAGCTGCGATTAGGGTTAAAACGAAAATACAGAAAATCTACAATTTGTACGGGGATGATGATGAGAGTTGAGAGGCTACACCACGTGTAGGGGTGAGTGGTGGTCATATATTGACCCTCTCTAATGCGAGCAGGTTGATGTCAGTTTGAATGGTGCTTGGCCTTTTCTTATAATGGTACTCTACCCTTACACAGTCTCTCTCTCTCTCTCTCTCTCTCTCCCTGTCTCTCTACCGTCACAGAGTCTCTCCCTCTCTCTCTACCCTCACAGTCTCTCTCTCTCTCTCTCTCTCTCTCTCTCTCTCTCTGGGGAGCAGTAGTGGTTTGAATAAGTAGACTCAGATTTGAACTTTAATCTTTGAAGATTTTAGATGGTGCAAAATCAATCCTTAACCTCTCAAAAAGGTTGAAAATTTTAAGACAAAAAGAAACAATACAAAATAATACATCATAGCTATAGTTATAGGGTAAACAGGTACCTCCATCTTTACTTTCTATTTTTCTTCTTCCCCTCTTGATGCAAAAATCCCTCATGATACAAAAACCCTCTCCTCCTACAAAACCACAAAAATATATGCCAACAATATCAAATACCACTTAAAAGCCCTAGATCCTTTTTAAGGTAACCCCATTCATTAATTACCCTTTTCCTAAATTAGCTATAATCTCATTGAGATTTGACTGGTTTTGAACACCACAGGAACACTCCACCAAATCAAATCCACCCTCCATAAAGAACCCATTCCACCATTTTTTCCGTTCTCTCTCTCTCTCTCTCTCTCTCTAGGTTTAGGGGAATGCTGCATGCATTTTGATGATGGCTGAACAAGGAGGAAATGGTACTAGCCGTGTGATCATGAGGGACTACAGGAAAGGGAACTGGACAGTGGGGGAGACAATGATTTTGATAGAGGCAAAGAAGATGGATGATGAGAGAAGAATGAAGAGAACTGGTGGTGGGGAAGGTGGTAGTAGTGGTGGAGGAACTGATCAAACAACAAGATCAATGAGCAAACCAGCTGAGCTGAGGTGGAAATGGGTGGAGGACTACTGTTGGAAAAAAGGTTGTTTGAGAAACCAAAACCAGTGCAACGACAAGTGGGACAATCTCATGAGGGATTACAAGAAAGTGAGAGAATATGAGAGGAAGATTACTAATGTGGGAAAAGGGAAAGGAGAAGAAGGTAGTGCATCGTATTGGAAGCTTGAGAAGAATGAGAGGAAGGAGAGGAACTTGCCTACAAATATGGTGCCTCAGATTTATGAGGCTTTGGTGGATGTGGTGGAGAGGAGAGAAGCTGCTGCTGCTGCTGCTGGTTATCAGATTAGAGGTCATGAGGTGGTGGGAGGAGCCTCTGTTTCTGGTCCAAATGTTGGGATTAATCCAAATATTGGGTATGGTTTGGAGAGGCCTATAATTAATACAACTAATGTTCATCAGCAGCCTTCTTCTTCACTGCCTTCTCCTCCAGTTTTGCAACATCATCATCATCATCAAATCTCAGTTCCAACAATTGCGGCATTGCCACTTCTTCCACCTGCTCCACTGGCAGCCCAACCACCACCTGCTCTCCCATACGCACAGGTTATGCCCACAGTAGGTACACACACACTCTCTCTCTCTCTCGACCAAACTTGTGAAGAAAATGCACAAGTTATTAACAATTAGCTTTACAGGAAGAGTTATTTGGAGTGTCAATAGCAGCTCCTTAACGTTAATATGTTTAATTACTCTTGCCTATGAAGCAAAAGCTTAATTAAGCAACTAATCTTTGGAATTATATATTCCAATCAAACCACATTTTCTGTTAAATTTTAGGCCAATTTCTCCACTAGTAAAAGAATTATTTGTACTTTATTATGTCATGAAAAAGAAAAAAGGGTAGGGTACTATTGATAATGATTGTGTGCATTGAATGGTAATGATTAATAATATCAGATTTGTTGAATTAGTGCAACAACATTTTTACTTTTGGGAGCGTGTGAAATGATATCAGATTCCGATACAAGTGAGCATTCAGACTCGCCAGCTAAAAGGAGGAGGAGGGCAAGTGGAAGAGGTGGCGGTGGTGGTGAAGATCAAGGAGGAACCAGTGGAACTGTGAGTGCAAGCATCTCAAGTGAAGTGGGAACTGCCATTGCCAGAGGTGCTTCCATGATTGCAGAAGCACTTCAGGGCTGTGAGGAGAGAGAAGAAAGGAGGCACAGAGAGATGTTGAATTTGCATGAGAGAAGGCTACAGATCGAGGAAACTAAGACTGAGATCAACAGGCAAGGCATTAATGGCCTCACTGATGCCACTAACAAGCTTGCAAATTCCATCCATGCCTTGGCTTCCAACAAGAACCAACAGCCACCTCCAAATTGATAATTAGATTATTATTATAATCCTAATTAAGATGCTTTAATAATTTCTATTTATTTATATGATCATAAGATAGAAAAAGAGAGAGGTAGAGATCTCATTGATCACATTTGGTTGATTAATGTACATAATTTATAAACCCATTTGTGTTTTGAGTTCAAGTTTTGGATTCACTTACTAATGATTCTAATCATATGTTGTTTTCCTTACTAACTTCTCTCACTCAAATACACAATGTCTAGCTCACACTTCTAGTAATTACCAAGTGATTTTACTTGATCACCATGGACTTTCCAATTCAATTTGGAATGGTTTTAATACTCATCACACCATTTAACTTACGAGAGTAACTTGCATGATACAAGTACATTATTAATGTGATATCCTAAACTAATGATACACAATAGCGATGTAATCTTAAATTTCAAGTAGACGGGCCACAGGCCCACTCCAACAACACCAATATTGTCCCCACTTGGCCACCTGCTCAATCTGTCAGATGTGGGGTTTTAATACAAAAGGCATCGGGGTTAGTTAGAGTGAGGTAATTCTATTTAAAGGGCTTGTTCTCAAACCTTCTTGCCGATGTAGAACAGATGAATTCTAACACTCCCCGCACATAAGACCCTATTTTATAGGTCACACGTGAAGTTTCACACATCGGCAACCATATATTTTATGTGTCACACGTGAAGTTCCACACATTGCCAACCACATGTAAATAAGCCGGGGCTCACCTATTCGCGCGAGGCCAATGGGGACCCACTTATTCACGTGGTAGTATGGGCCCGTCCTCTTACTCTGATACCATCTTAAATTTCAGGTAGACGGGCCATGGGCCCACTCTAACAATATCGATACTGTTCCCACTTGAGCACCTGCTCAATCCGTCAGGAGTGAGATTTTAATACAAAAGGTCTCGGTGTTAGTTAGAGTGGGGTAATTCTATTTCAAGGGCTTGTTCTCAAGCCTTCTGCCCTATGTGGGAATTAGGAATTCTAATACTCCCCAGCACGTGAGATCCCATTTTATGGGTCACACATGAAGTTCCACACATCGACAACCACGTGGAGCCAAGCGGGGGCTCACATGTTTGCACAGGGCCAATGGGGACCCACCCATTCACGTGGCATCTCTTGGCCTACATGGAGCCAAGTTGGACTCACCCATTCGCGCGGGTCAAAGGGGACCCACCCGTTCACGTGGCAGTATGGGTTTATTTCTTGGCTCTGATACTATCTTAAACTTCAGGTAGACAGGCCATGGGCCCACTCGAACAACACCGATACTGTCCCCATTTGGCTACCTGCTCAATTCGTCAAGTGTGGGGTTTTAATACAAAAGGCCTCGGTGTTAGTTAGAGTGAGGTAATTCTATTTAAATGGCTTGTTCTCAAGCCTTCTAGCTGATGTGGGACAAAGGAATTCCAACACTGCCCCGTACTTGAGACCCCATTTTATAGGTCACACGTGAAGTTCCACACATCGACAACCACGTATTTTATAGGTCATACGTGAAGTTCCACACATCGGCAACTACGTAGAGCCAAGCGGGGCCAATGGGGAACCACCCATTCACGTGGCATCTCTTGGCCTACGTGGAGCCAAGTCAAGGCTCACCCATTCGCTCGAGGTCAAATGGGACCTAACCGTTCACATGGCAATACAGGCCCTTTCCCTGGCTCTGATACCATATTAAGTTTTAGGTAGACAGGCCATGGGGCCACTCCAACAACATCGATATTATCCCTACTTGGCCACCTACTCAATCCGTCAGGTGTGAGGTTTTAATACAAAAGGTATCAGTGTTAATTAGAATGGGGTAATTTTATTTAAATAGCTTGTTCTCAAGTCTTCTGCCCGATATGGGACATATAAACTTGAACATGTAATTGTGCCACATCTTTTATCTCCTATAGTCATACAAGTTAATTTCTTAAAGCTTTGAAAAAGCATAATGCAGATTGTTTATATTCATATTATACATGGAAATTAGACACACAATATTATGCAATTTTTTCCCAAGCACTCTATCGTACATATAAAATCAACTCAATATAGGAGAGAAGTTAACCACAATATTTAATATAAAATTATATATAATATGATTGCATAGTGTATGTCACGTGGTGAAAATCGAAGTGGGGATTGAGCATTTTTCACGTATCATTTATGAGGTACAGATGTGAGAGAGAGAGAGAAGAGAGTACTGAGCAGTTAGTAGTAGTACTGCATAAACACAGAGAGAGACAAGTCCTTCCCAAAAGACTGGTCAAAGGCGACCAGTCAATGATCCCTGTGAGGGGGTAGAGAGAGAGAGAGAGAGAGAGAGAGAGGAAGGATGCCCTTTGGACATTGCAGTGCAATTACCAATATACCATCCATCGATCCTTCATCCGTCATATTTTGTTGGTATTATTGGGGGTTGAATCAAAGGAGGAGATGTTTCTTTTCATGTCTTTCTCCTCCTGTCCTCTGTGCGTGTGTGACTGAGATAGAAAAGAGAAGGTTGTTCTTGGTGGTGGTGGTGCAAGCTGCAAATGTAAGATTTCAGGTGTGTGTCTGTGGTGTGAGACCCACGGCGGAGGTGGCGGCGACGGCAGCGGCAATGGTTGTTATTAGCTTATTATTGTTTAATGAGTAATATTAAAGAGATTAAATTTATATTACAAATAAAAATAAATACGTTTATTAATGTTTAGATAATAAATTAATTACCAACTTTTATGTTTCTTAATTTTAAAAATTTTATCTTTAAATTTAATCCTTTCGCGTTATCTTTGGCTAATTGGCAGTCCTACCTCTCTGTGTGCCTCTGAGTCTCTGACAAAAGGAGTGTACTAAAAGTTCAACTTTTTCACCTTGAAGAGCATCCCATTCACAGCCACAGGAAGGAGCTAGCTAACCTCCTCGATTATATTGTGCTTCTTTTCAGCCTTTTCACCTTTTCATATAAAAACACCTACATTAATTTACAGTACCATTTCTTTTTCAAGTCAACTTTTTCCTAATTATATATTGTTAGAGCTTTATTCCTTCTCCAATATTGTTAGTATGGAGAAATTAAATATGAGCTCTGGCCAGTCTGGTACTACGATATGTTTCATGGTTTCGTATGCATGATTTGCATTTTTGATCGAGTTTATATCAACGCGTTTCTTCTGATTTTCAAGAACGTGTTATTTCTACCATCATCATCATCATATTATTAACTGTCATCACCCTTCAACCACGATCATCACTATCTTTATCGTCTCACTACTGCAACCACCACCATTGTCAGTGTCATCGCTACCACATCCCATCTTGCTGCCATCACCATCTTCACATTCTTCACCCCCATTGCCCTCGTCAGGGCCACCACCACCTCCACCATCCCCACCACATTACCCTCACTACTACCATTGCTACAACCACAATATCTACCAAAATTACTCTCATCTCAACCAACATTTTTACCACCACTGCCACAGTTACTATCAAACAAGAATTTTGGAATTTCAAATATAGGTACCAAACGTGTTTTCAAGCCTTTCACTCTTAAAAATCACTCTTATAAAACTACCAAATACATTCTTAAATCATAAAAATGTAAAATTCTATTTGTTGTTTTCGTTTATAAAACAATTTTAAAATATCGTTATGCAAAACATTAGCGGACGGGGCCTGAGTTCTCAACGCCTAATTCATACACGTCACATGACTTTTTTAAGTGAGTCATATCACCTTTTGAAAAAAACTCTTTTCCTCTCTGAATTCCATAGACTTCACCCCTACGTTCCTTGACTCTTCATTCTTACTGTTTTCTAGGCACCCTCTGATGTACATTAAGAAAAGAAAAATAGTTTGAATCAGAATACAGAAAGTTGAAGAGGAAGATTCCAGACCATTAAAATAATTCAACTCTTAACATCAAAACTTTATACGATAATTTTTTTTTAACAAACGATATTATTTATACTAAAAAGGAGAGAGAAGTGAGCTAAACCTTATAATGGACTAGCAATAACGTGGTTCAAATTCGTCTTTGGCAAGAATCGAACCTAAGACCTCTCACTTACAAGTGAAGAGAAATATCAGTAGATCGTAATACTAAATAGCAACTTTACACGATTGTTTAAGATACAGGCCGGTCCATGAATTTGTTGGGCCTAAACTTGGCAGTCCAAGCCCGTCCAAGGAACCCATTATCTTAAACAAAACGTGCCCAAGTGGAAGCTGAGCAGACAGGCTGGTCGCCCTGGTTGGACCGGAAAGATGAAAGAAGATTATTTCGTCTCTTACGCTTTGGCACGCGGAAATTTTCGTAAAATACATTTGCTTCAGTAGAGGTCTTCGTATTCGAGGAGAGAGAGAGAGAAGGTTGTTGGTATACTTGGCTTGGCTTTTAGGATCCTTTCTCGATTTGCCTTCTTCTTCTTCTTCTTCTGCTTCTGCTTCTGCTTGCATCAAACCCCATCTTTCCTTCTTCGTCAACGTCTGCGTTCTTCTGCTCCAGATTCTGCTTAATTCTTTTGATCTCCAATTTTCAATCCATCGCACTCATGGCCACCACTGGGAACAAGAACATCAATGCCAAATTGGTATGTGTTTCTGCTTCTGAAAAAAGCCCTTTTCTTGAGCTTGCTTTCTGTTCAATTTCGTCAAACTTTGCGATTCTGATTGGTCTTTGATGCTGTCCTGTACTGGGTCCCTGTAATTTCAATTGGGTTTTAGGAAATTTTGTGAATTTGATCGGGTTTTGTGTGATTCAATGATAATTATGACGTGGGTTTGGTTTGTTTTTCGTGGAATTTGTTGTGATGATCAATTACTGCTGTAGTTTCTGGATATTCTGATTTGGGTCTTATTTGATTTTCAGCTGTTATAATTTTCAGACGATTGCGTATTTTTAGGCCAGTTCATATTTGGGGTTTATGTTTTGTTATTTGTTGATTTGATTGCGTTAATTAACATAAAGGATGTGGATTTACAATTTTTTTATTTTTGCTTTTAAACCCTGGAAATGGAAGTCAAACAAATACAATATCTTTGAACACAGAGATTTTGATTTTGTTTTTCGTATTTGAATTCCGACTGCAATGAGAAAAATGGGACTGAAAGCTTATTAGGATTTCTAGTTGTTTCGACCAGAAGTTTTACTCTTTTGTGGTGTTGTTTATCTCGGTCTAGCTCTGATATTTTGAGGGTCTCCGAGAATACAACATACTGTGACTTAGGTCTCATAGCTTTCTTGCTATATGATCATGTAAGTAAATGCCTGAATGCTAAATTTTAACCAAAACCATACTCACAAGCAAAATACAAATACAAAAGTCCATGTTACAATGAAGGTTGTGATTTATCGAAAAATGTTCCGTTAACTTAGGAATTATGGATATGTAGGCATATGTATTTTAGCATTATGTGGTGAATAGGTTTATTTTTGCTTAAATTATTTTTCTTTGGGTATTGCATGTCGTGATCACCACAGTGATGTTTGATATTCTTCTTCAGGTGCTTCTTGGGGATGTTGGAGCTGGGAAATCAAGTCTGGTGTTGCGCTTTGTAAAAGGACAATTCGTTGAATTTCAGGTTTGTTCTATATCTTTCAAAGGAAGCATTTTCTTTTTTTTATCCATACCTTTACTTTTATAGTATGTTATTACAGGAATCAACAATAGGTGCTGCCTTCTTCTCACAAACATTGGCTGTAAATGACGCAACCGTAAAATTTGAGATTTGGGATACAGCAGGTCAAGAGAGGTACCATAGTTTGGCACCAATGTATTACAGAGGAGCTGCTGCTGCAATTATCGTGTATGATTTAACAAATCAAGTGAGTATATTCTGACAGCCCATTTTTTATATTGTTTGGAATTTTAGATTTTTATGAAATTTATTTCTTTGTTGGTGGCGGATTTGTATTCATTCACTAGAGTTGAAGGATCTTTAGTCTTCCCTAGTTGAAGTTTGTTTTCTCTTTGACAGCTTTTCATTTATTACCAGCTACCACCTAGTTACCCATATCGAATACATCTTAAACAGAAGTTTTAACTTTCCTTCTCTTGTAGGCTTCATTTGAGCGAGCAAAAAAATGGGTTCTTGAACTCAAGTCACAAGGTTAGTAACTTATGTATGCTAAATTTTGGTACTGGCTTCCTTAGTTTTGTCTATGTGACTTTAATTTTTAATAATTTTATTTATTCCCGTATGACAAGGTAACCCAAACATGGTTATGGCACTAGCTGGTAATAAAGCGGATCTGGTAGAGGCCAGGAAAGTGGCAGCAGAGGTAATTCATTATTTTGTGCTTTCCTTTTTTTTTTTTTTTTTTTTTTTTTTATTCATTGGTTGAACTTTATATCGCTTGATTTTTCAGTCCAAAGCCTTCGTTTTTGAAAAATGAAATAGCTTTTCAAGATTATTTGAATTTGAAATTTAAAGAACAAATGAATATATTCTGGAAATCCTTCGTTCTTCGTATATAAAATATGCTTATATTACCTTTGGTCAACATATTACAGTTCCATTCTTATAGTAATATCTTCCAGTTCTCTATTCTGCACTTATCATATGATATGGTTAACTACAAGCTGTCTTTTTCTGTCTCCTTTCCTTTTTCCAACAACAATCACCACCACTCCTTATCCCACTAAGTGGGGTTGGCTGTAGGAATCCTAGAAAGTTGGAAGCAAGGGTCCCCTCTTTCCGATGTTGATTTTTAGTTTTGAAAGTTTGAAGCAACAAACCTATTTCCGTACACTTCTGTGGACTGTAGTCCATGTAATCCAGGTTGTGTTTCCCAATTTGCGGTACTGGACTCCATTTTTCCCAAACTAGTGTTTCAGACGTATGACAATATGTGGGAAGAAGATATAAATAAAGTGAAACTGATGTTTATATTTGTTCCTTCGAAGAGGTCACTTTTTGAGAAAATGAACAAACCGAAGAATCTGTATAATAAAGTATGGCGATTAGGGGAGCTAACTTGACTAGAATCTGTTTGTCATAACTTGCATATTCATTCATTCTATGTTCTGCTTTATAACTGCTGCTGTTGCAGGATGCACAATCATATGCTCAAGAGAATGGCCTTTTCTTCCTGGAAACCTCTGCAAAAACTGCAGACAATGTCAATGACATTTTCTACGAGATAGGTACTTTTATAGGGTCTTAGCGTGTACCCCTTTCAGCGCAATGAATTTACTGTTAAAAATGGATTTACGCATGTCTTTTTGCTTGTTTGGTTTATGTTATAATGTAATTTAGTGATCTGATTATGGTTTTCGTCTGTTTTTGGGGTAACAGCAAAGAGATTACCTCGAGTGCAGCCTGTGCAGAACCCTGCAGGAATGGTTCTCATGGACAGACCTTCTGAAAGGGTGGCAAGCTCGTCCTGTTGCTTATAGAGCTTCTGTGGTGCTTTCGGTCACTGCCTGCTTGGTATTTCCATAATAGTTTGCGTAACTGACAGTGGAAAATTATGAATCAGCTACCGAGTTACCCATGTATGTGTACATTTATTCAGATTTGTATATGGATGTTATTGTTTAGTTACCTTGAACAAAGTGTGAGAAGCATATGGAGATTGGTCTTTTCATGTAATGAAATGGTTACTCGCAGTTTGAAAATACTCGGGTTTGGTAGCGAATAATAAGAAATCCGATTCCTTAAAATTTTAGCGAAAACTATAAACTCGGTCCTTGTTTCCAGACATGGTGCAAGATTTCTGAAGTGCTAGGATGGTGGCAAGTTTCAGCAACTTGAAAATTCTATTGCGGTTTAATGAAGCAATCCTTCCATGTTGCCAAGCATTTGTTGGGAAGGGGTACGCTGTAAAAATTTGGTTCGCATGTGGGACTCGCATACAGGGAAGTTGTGAACTAAATTCCCCGGTCTGCGACGGAAAGCACATCCTTTATTTAACCTTTTCTTTTGCAAGATATTCTAAGTGGTTTGAATCTACGGAGAGAAGGATTCAAACTTGAGGGCCATGGTACGGTTCCAACGGTTCTCTTTTCAATGTAATAGAGAGATCTTTTCTCAGTTAGAACTTCTATCAATGCTGTGAAAGAACCTTCTCTTCTTGTCCAACTTGCCTAATAGACATTTGCATCTTTTATTCGACCATTTGCAGGCCTAAAACCAAGTCTAATCACACCATGCTTAATGCTCTAGTTTGTTCCTAATTACTTCAAATTCGTTCATTTCCTTGCACAATGTGAAAAAAAATGTTTTTCGTGTATTGCTTATTGAAATGGCTTCTCAAAACAGCATAAACTTTTCCCAGATTTTAATTCTATTATTTGTAGAACATAATAGCATAGCCACCAACATGCTTACAATTTTGAGTACATTGATATTTTTACACTAAGGGGAGGGGGCAAAGCCACACAATAGGCAACTTAATTTGGTATCGAATTCGCTATCCACGAGATTCGAATCCAAAATCTCTCACTTGCAAGTGAAGAGGAATATCACGAGACCGTAGTACTGAGTGGCACCAATATGCTTACAATTAAATATCTTTAAAGCAGCAAAGGGTGCTTTACTGCAGTTGCGAGAAGTAATAACGTTTATGCACCATGGGACGGGTTCAATCCCCCTCCCTCTTAACATTTAACAATTTAACACACTAAAGCTTATCATTCATAAAAATAAAATAAAAAATCTTCAAAATTGTAAATGACGCTTTATTGCAGTAGTGGAAAATAATCATGTATATGTATCCTTGTGCAGGTTCAATCCCCACCAACTAACTAAATATCTTCGAAGCCTTGAGAAAATTTACATACTTATCTTCGAAGCCAGAGATTCCTTGATTTTCTGTGGCCACATAAACTAAATTTCACCCATCGGTTATAGAGAATACTGCTAATTAATGTTACTCCACTTCAAGTTGTTCCCTTGTTACCAAGCAATTGGAATATAACCAGCTCATTTTCTTGACCAATCTAAAGGGCAAATATATGGAAGGATCAATTTAACAAGGATTTGCGGATGCACTCTACTCTTTACATTCAAGTTTGAATTTCTCTTCTTAAATTATCTTGTAAGAAAATAAATTTAATAATAATTTAAAAATTACCACAATCTTTTTTTTTTTAACAACTTGGAAATAAATTACAATGAAGAAATCGACGGATCTTAAAACCATACATGTCAAATTTAACCTTAGAAAGGACAGAGGTAGAAAAATTATCCAAACAGGTACAAGATTGAGAATAATAATGACCAAAAGCACCAAATCCGTAACAATCTGGCTAGTTTAATTGATCTTCAAACAAAAGGAAGTATTAAAGAAATACATTATGCAAATACCAGAACTGCCAAGCCTTGATTTATTTTGTCTGCTGCAAAGCACAACTGCATAACAGCAAGAAGCACCATACCATCAACTCCCACACAGCATGGGGTTGCTTAGTTTTTGTGAAGTCCTTGAGAGGCTGCAGCAGAAGCACAATCCATTGGCTGAAACCCAATTCTCTCTTTCTCCAAGTCATACACAACCTCCACATTTTGTTGTTGGAAGCTCCCAAACACCCCAGCTGGCCCATAATCTCCATCATCCATTACTTGGAACAACAAGCATTTCACCACACTGGAGTTTACTGGAGCTCCCATGGCATAGAAGTGATTTCCTTGGGGCAAAACAAGACTCACATTATTCAAGAAATGGAAAGTGATTGGGGGAAGGAGTAGATCATCCTGGTCTATGAGAGTATTATTCATTGTGTGTGGGACTAAATAACAAAGATCAAAAGAGGTCTTTGTCTCCATTTCCTTGGCTCTAGGATACCAAATCACCGACTCAATAACGGAGAGAAGGTTGGAGTAAAATGGCTCAGGCAAATGAGTGTAAGTGGTTCCTGAGTCAATGAGCATGCCCCCATTGCCTTGCGAATCAAACTCTCTCAAGCTTGAGGGCACTTGTGTAACTGTACTAGTATTACCTATTGTGATGGCCTCTAGACCAATGTAGTAGTTGCTAGGGTACATGGGACTCTTCAACATTGGAGTGAATTGCAAGTTTTCTTTTGAAGAAATAGCAACATCTCCTATGACTAGAGGACTTGAAATATTAGGGTTGTTTGCATACTTGAAAGCCAAGAAGCAATGAGAGAAGCCCTTCTGTAGAAACCCTAATTGGAATGGGAGGGAAAGTGCTCCCCTACCAAACCCTGCAATCCCAATAGGCTCTCTATAACTAGCCCAAATGCACCCAAAACAAAACTTTGGAATTTCCCTAGTGACGACATTATTAGGGGTGCTACTAATTCCATGAACCCTTAATGTGTCTCTACTAAGTGCCCCTTGGACAACCCCCCCTGCGCCATAAGTGTAAGCAAATGAAGGGCATGGTCTCGGACATGTGCCTTTAAGAAGGGTAGCAAGTGAACATCCGACTATGGTGCACGGATCGATGGAGTTATCCGAGCTATGGATGTCAATGCAAAATGAGCTACCACAAAGGTCTCTAAGAGATGAAGAAGAAGCTGAAGGAGAGAAAATGGCCATTAGTTTGTTGTTCCTATAGTCATCACAATCCATGCAAACAAAAGAAAGATTGCCACAAGGAACCCAAGTTAGGTCACTCCCAGTATCCATATATACTTCGATGACTTGTGGGGGAGTCCCTAAACTAAGAGGTATCAGATACCCATCTCTCACTTCCCTCAGTGGCTCGATCATGTCTGACACTTGTGATGGCATCTTTTTCGAGTAAGAAGATGCTTTCGGACTTGGGAGGGAAACCCGAGAATGTGTTAGTCCAAGCACCAGGGAAGTAGAACTGGAGCGATGGCTGGCTAGGGTTTGGGTGAAATTCAAGAATGTTGCTATGGCTAGAAGGAAAAGGAGGGTGGTATTGGTGAAGGGTGTTTCCATTGGGATCAATAGGTATAGAGACAAGTGAACTCCTTAGCATGCATAATACCTATATATAGAGGCCATTCAATGAGTTAAAAGGTAGATTAACCATCTGATGCATCGGGGTTTTATCATATATATGGGGTAACAGATGTTTATGATCAAGAGGTTCTGAATTAATATTGCGAGTGTTTGCTACACCTACGCAGGCACATGAAGGGATGTATAGCATGCATGCATGCTCTGATAATTCACACCCGCACACAAACGTAAACACTTACACACCACACACACACACACACACCAGAGAACATTAAAATACTGCCATGATTTATATATTATACAATTTTTGGTTAAGTAAATTCGAACACCCGATGAGACGATGATAATTAATATTTCATTGGGTTGTAATTTCTTTGCTGATGCCAAAATGTGAACTTTTATTAAAAATAAGGGTTCTTTAGATATAAGTTCATGCAATATTTATTTCCTTGACTTTCCTTCTCATTTTAAAGATCTAAATAAAATCCAAATTTAAAGTAAACTACCATGTAAACAAATAAATACCTATTATTTTCAAACTATTTACAATTATGCCACAACACTCTAATTATGTTAATGAATTTAATTATCCACCATAATTGTGGGAAATAAGTGCCTTATTATTATTATAACATTATCTACTTTATACTTCTCTTACCGTCATATGTTTCATTTCTTTTATTTGTTTGACAATCATTGTATGTAAATTATTTTGCATGTATATATTAGGCATATTTTGTTAAAATTATATATATGCGTGCAAATAATTTATCTATATTTTTATGTAAAATAATATGTAATTAATTAATTTTGAATCAATTGGCTAAAAACATTTATTTATTTTGTAGGTAAATTATTTTTCATGTGATATTACATATATACTAGCCATATTTTGTTATTATTATATAGAGTGTGCAATCAATCGACATTCTTTATTTTGCATGTAGGTAAATTGTTTTATATTTTTTTTGCAAAACATTGGTATTTAATTAATTTTGAATAAAAAATATTTATTTATTTTGTAGGTAAATTATTTTGCATGTATCATTACATAATTTACTAGGAACTTATATTGTTATTATATATATGTTGTGCAAAATAATTCACCTATGTTATATTTAAAATATTAATAATTTTGAATAAAATAACTTTTTTATATCTGTAGGATATACTAATTTACCTATTAGCATCATGTGAAAACAATTATATAAGGAACATTGGTATCATGTAAATTTTTGTTATTAAATTTTTTTCCAAATCCCCATAAGGTATTTGAAGACATTTAATTGAATGAAATAATGTAAAATAAATGTGGATAACAAGTGAGAGACCGAAAGTAAGTGTTATTAGGGGTAATTTAGACATCCAAAAATACAAATTTTGCCAAGTCAAACTTAATTATGGATATTGCTTAGTTGGAGACTAGTCATTGGGTTTTTGTTAGAGAAATTTACCATGATTGGGTTTTAATTAAAGAAAATTGAATTCCAAGGGGTGTACTCATATTTGTTTCAAAAATAATTAGTAACAAAGTTCATAAATCACCCAGCAGAGTAATCGCAGTTCTTTGCTCATGCATCATGATAAACTCCGCTAGATAGTGGCACTCACGATCATGTCCTGCAAATAGGGTAAGCTTCAAAAACTCGGATTTTATGGGTATATTAACACTATTGAAAACAAGGAATATAGAATTTGGAGCACGCCAGACATGGAACCTTCTAAGCTGGAGATGACGCAACATCCTCAAATCACAGGATAATACTGACGAGGACCGATCAACTCTTGCTTGCCATTTCCGTAATCTCACATGGTTTGAATACCATTTGAGGAAGATTACTTGTATAAGTGTACTAATACAATTGTATCTGTACTTGCTTAGGACATAATGACCTGCCACTAAACCTTGCTGTAACTGTACTTTGCTTCATAATTTAACGGATTAAGTATCTACTTTCACCATCTTTTCTGCAATTAAGTGCTGATATTGGCTTCTGGTCGATTGAATCTTAGGTACGTGCACTTTTTAATTGTTTAATTGCTTGATATAAGGTTCTATTTAACTTTTGGTGAATTAATTATAAAAAGTAACGCATTATATTATCAGCTTCAAAAAGTTTTTTGTCACATTAGCTTTCGCCAAACTAATTCAGTTATGAATCTATGATCTGCCCTGTGCGGCTACACTACTCACTCAACACTTTGGATACCTATGTTTGGTGGTTCAGTTTTATTAAGCACGTTAGTGTGTGTGTGTGTGTGTTTATTTTTTTTTCTTCTGTCGTATCATATACATCTGTGATTTCTACCTTCCTCTTGTTCCATGTAAACGGTCATCACTTGCTAATTTGTTATGTAACTCGGATTTTTTTTTTTTTTTTTTTTAAAGGCATCCTTGCCCCACCCCCTCTTCCCACTAGCATTTCCGTGGCTACTTTTTTTTTTTTTTTAATTTTTTTTTTTTTTTCTGCTACCAAACCCAGACATTTGCCTTTTTTCTTTCTACTGATGTGCATAAGCAACAAATCAAACAATTCATCCCCTTATATTTATCAACAAGCAAGGAAGTTTATAATCTAAAAATATTGGTAAGAAGTTTTTCCTTAGAATTTTTCAATTGCAGAAAGTTTAACAAACCATTTAGGATTGATGACAAAAATTAAAACCCAAATACTCATCTTTTAAACTTAAAAAAAAAAAAAAAAAATGCTGTTGAGCGTACCAGAAAGAAAACTGGTTATGCAAAGTGTCGAGATATTTAACTTGTGCACTAGAAAGTAGATAATATGAGCCCGATTGATTGATAGGTTGTAGCTTTTCTATTTTATAGTGGGAAAAACAGTACATGGATGCTCATGCAATCCATCTTGTAAAAGAACGGACAATTGCTTGAAGATCTCAATCATAGAATACAAGTTGGATGGATAAATTGGAAGAGTGCATCATGTATATTGTGTGATCCTCTTATGCTCAAGGGAGAATTTTATAGGACGGCAATAAGGCTAGCAATGCTTTATGGCACAAAATGTTGCGGGTCAAGCATCAGCACGTGCAAAAAATGAGTGTAACGGAGATGAGAATACTTCGTTGGATGTGTGAACACACTAGAAAAGATAGGATTAAGAATGAGGATGTCTGAGGTAAAGTAGGAGTGCCTTCAATTGAAAATAAGATGAGAGAAAATCAGTTAAGGTGGTTTGAATATGTGAACTGAAGACCTACAGATGCTCTGGTTAGAAAATACGATTGTGAGATAAAGACTCAGTGCAAAAGGGGTAGAGAAAGACCTCGGAAGACTGAGAAAGAAACTTTAAGAAAAGACATAGAGTACTTGAAGTTAAAGGAAGACTTATCACAAAACAGAACGTAATAACGTTCTAAAATTCATACAGCCGATCATACTTAATGAAATAAGATTTTGTTGTTATATGCTTTTCCAATGCATCGCAGGCGCAGACTAGGATGACCCTCAATATTTTTCCTACTTTTGTCTTCAATTCATAGTAAATCACCAAATGATAGCCAAATCAAAAATAAAGACCACACTTCCATTTTCTCTTTTCGTACTCTTCATTTGTTTGTCCCTTAATTCTCATTTGATTTACTTTCCCGTGAGAAAAATGCTTCGGATCCTTGTACCCACTAACTTTTCCCTCTTTCCATTACTTTATAAAGGAGGAAGATTCTCTCTCCTCCCATCCACTCCTCCTTTGTGTTAATAGAAATCGGTGCACATCCAAAGAAGCTAATCATTGTAGCAAAACTACTTAGTTGCTGAAACAATGCATACAACTTTGAACCATTTAACTCTAGCGACATACAGTGGAGACTTGAGTCAAGAAATAGTAGAGATCTTAGATTCGACTCCCCTCGTAATTTAACAACAAACTTGGAATCATTTACAACAATTTTGGCCACCAAAATGCCTCCAGTTTTGACTGCCTTGTAACCCTCACATCTGGGCCTCTATCATTTATACAGTGAACAATATAGACGAATGCACAAGATCAGATCCATCTTAAAGCGGAAGCCTTTCGACTCATTTCCACACACAACGTATATCCATCATTGCATCTTGGCCAATTGCTTCATCAATCCCTTGATAATCTTTCCAAACCACATCAAGTTCATAACAGCTAGAACCGATGGCACAACAAACACCAACAGATATCCGTAGGTGTGCATCTGGATGATCTGCAATCCAATTAAACAAATGACACTCCAAAATCTTTAGTAACTTTACAGTTCTAGAGCACTTGATAATTCATATAAAAAAAAAATAAAAATAAAAGATGGATTCGTAAAAATTTCATAAAGATAAGGGAACTGGAAAAGGAGAGATGTTTTGGCTCGCATTAGTTTGTTCTTTTTTTTCCGTTTAAAGTAGAACGTGCGAAATTTAAAATCTTCAGGAATGGTTCACAAACGTAGAATATTGCACTACATAAGCAACATTCAAGATTTCATCCTGTTCCCAAAGAAAATCACACCAAAAGAGGAGGGTGTTGAAAATATAAAGATCCAAACTTTTTACCCCTTCTCAGAGAACTATCCAAACCATGTATACAGCATAACTCAACTTTTGAAGAAAGTGAAAGTATACGGCAAGAAAAACCCAAAGTGTAAGCAGTACATATCCTAAGGGAATGGCAACTTACCATATCATAGTGTAAGTAAACATGGTAAAACATGTAGCCAAACAGCAGAATTCTTGCCGCCTGCATTCCATAAATTCCTTTAGAAAGCATTCTAACAATGATGGAAGTTATGCGACCAAATGGAAAATCCAGCATTTTGAAAACAACGATGTATGCTCACGATGCTGCTCACATCAAGCCAGATGGCTAAGAAATGAGTCAGTTTATGAAAGTATCAGGGCA